AGTCCTGTTTATACCCTTTTGGTCACATTATTCATATGATATCGAAACTTTATATCAAAAACGATATTGCTAAAGCTTTAAATATAATCACAAATAATGTTTCATTACGAAAAGCTACTCTGGATTATAGGATCCTTTACTATATATTTCAGAATTGTATTAATAGCCAAATCTCCTATAGAAAAGATATCCAAATGATACAAAAGATTGTCTCGATTTAGAAAAGATAATTAATAGAATATTAGATATTAGTATAAAAGACTTTGAATACTAATCCTATTTATTAGCAAATTTATAAAATTGGAAAGTACTATTTTCTCAATATAAAAGAAATCGATTCTATTCTTAGAAAATAATAGATATATGTGACGGAACGTAGTGAAGCACTTTATCACTAGGCCAACAACCCAAAAGGTACTAGAATAGATTGGAAGATCTATTCGTGCTTGACTATATATAGTATAATTCATCACATATTCCCCCCGTTTATAAGCGAGATCTCTCGAGCCAATCATCTCCCTCCATTTCGATAAATAAGCAAAGAATGAGCTAAGGCTAGCGTCAGTACTAGCGAGGGCACAATGCTAGGGTACGGCACGTGGTACAGGGTACAGTAGTGCGCGTTCTAACAAATTTGGTTAATTTGGTCAATTTGGGTTGTACTTCTTGAGCAGAACCGAAAAACATCTCGTCTGTGTAGTCAACATACTCCTCCTCATTGATCCTGTCTTGACAAAAGATTGAAAGTAGATACAACGTATGCAGCATCATGATACATAAACATATTGGACCCACAGGAAACGAATGCACAGCAGCCAAGAATTGCTTCAACTGCCATAGCCCCTTTGCAGCAGGACACACTGGATGCCCAGCTGCCCCAAAAGTTAACAAAGGGAAAGTAACTCGTTCTACTAAGAAAGAGTATAACACAATCAAAGCACACAACAGAGCAGTTAATAAGGCACATATGATACCAGAACCTAGCCTGCAGTGGGTCCAGGTAATAATACCACCCCCTAGCCCTGGAGGGATAATAGATGTATACGAGAAAGAAGGCATTCCTTTGACCCCTGCGCCCCCTCTTTTGAGCTGAGATAGTATAAGCACATTGAGCCAAGGCAGTGGAAACTCCAGAAAGAAGCTTAAGCGGAGCGCTGTCCACAATGGTACCATGAATCTCGCAGAACTCTCTGAAAGGAATCTGCAACAGAATATCGAGGAATCCATAGGCATAAATATCGATACCCCCTTTGAATGTTAGAACACCCTTACAGACACTGTGGCAAACGCCGCCCTAATTCCATTACCCAAGATATCAGGGTGGGATAGGCAAATGTGAGGAAAATGCCAGATACACATATGGTGATATTGTAGTATGTATTCGACAAGAATATAGAGGTCCTCTGTACACAAGAGCCCTCGACCTATCCAGGTACTAGAATACAGAACCACCCGGGGTACGAGGGCTTTGTACCCGTGAACAACTGGGAAAGTGGAACCGGATCCGAACATGAAGCAGAGAGACCCTGGACCATGATATATACTCAGAAAGGAGCGAACCTCCAGGTCCAGCAACGAAGACCACAAGCTTATCGAGATCTGCTCTGGCTTGAAGTCAACGGCTTCCAGGTGATCAACGTATATCGGGAACCAGGAACTCGGCTGATGATAGATATCATCACTAACCTGGACTATTCTACACGAACTCTGATAGAAGAAGACCTCAATACGAAATACGATATATTTGAACTGGGAATAGCTATTGCAGACCAAGGCTAACTCCTTGCAGAATGGATAATCAACATAGGAATGAATTACATAAGCGAACCTGGAGTTCCTACTCATATCGCTAATTATACCATCGACCTGACTTTCTCGAATATAGCATTCGCAGAAACAACAGTATACCCAGAACTACACTATGGATCGGACCACAAAACCTAGGTTATAGTAATACCAGGCAAGAACACAGAGTCTACCAAATCAGAC